AATTCCAAACTTAGGTATATATATAAAAAAAATACTCGGAAGCAGACTTTCAAAAAGAAATGTTCATTGAAGCCAAAAATGTCATTCACAAGAGCCAAAAGGTAGCAATAACCTAAATGTTCATCAATAGATGAATGGCTAAGTGCACATACAATGGAATACTCAGTATGAGAAAGGAAGTCTTGCCACATGCTACAGTGTGGCTAGTGCTACAGTATGCAAAGAGGCCAATCAGAAAAGAACAAATTGTGTATGATGCCACTTATATAAAAAGAAAAAAAGGCAAAGGTACAGAAACTAGTTATTAACGGTTACCAGGAGTAGGAAAGATGAAGTTCAAGGGTGATGATAAAAATACAATTACTTAAGGCAGGATTGCATGGCTGACTATTGTAAACACTGTCAGTAAGTTGTACAACCATAAAAAGCTGAACTGACAAAAGTTGTGTGATAGATTTAAAACAATGACAAAAATAAAAAGTAGCTGCTGAGGCTGCATATGTACAACCTCACGTTTGCATAGGAAATTCCAGTTAACTGCTTCTGTTCTACCTTCTAGTTCACTGCACATTGCATGAGATCTTAAAGCTAGCAAGCAACTATCCAAGGTACAACCAAAGCAACACAAGGAGGAAAGTCAGAAATAGTAGGAGCAATAGTGACCCAGTGCGTAAGGAACTGCACCACCACTAAAGGACTGTGGTCCAAATCCACCAGCCATTCCTGGAGAAAAAGATGGGCAATCTCCTCCTGTGTGGTTTTTCTGACTCTGAAAACCTGGTACATAGTAACAACAACATGGAATGAGTAGCAAACTACCTCCTTGGACAGTGGCCTTCTTTGCTATGAGACCAGAAGAACTAGATGATACTCAGCTACCATCACTGAACATTCTGATCAAAGATTCTTGATCAAAAAGCAGGAATTTAAAATTCACATGAATCCTAGACTTTCTGGAGTCATGTAGAGCGGCTAAAGCTCGGAAACTATTTCCTTGAAATAATCTTTAAATCTTAAATTAAAAAATAGCTCCTAAAGTTGTTCTAAAACCTAATGATAAGTTTAGCTTAACTAGTTAAACAGGTCAACCTTGAGCATTATGCTTTTTTAAGAGCCAGCAATAGAGGATCAAAATGGTAACAGCAAAATTAGAAGAGATGTAACTGGTTTAGGTTAACAAGGGAATAGCTTATAAAAGGCTGGGAATGGTGCAAAACTTAAAGAATGTGTTATTATCTTTAGATTGAATCCTCAGAATACTATTGAACTTAAACACTTTGCTGTTTATATTCTAAAAAAAAAAAACCCGCCAGTATTTTGAAATATTTTCCTTTGGTATTGATTATTCATGAGAAGATTTTTATTTTTTATTTATTTATTTTTTTTGTACTGTAATGGCAGGTGGCAATACTTAAGGATACTTTGGGTAGAATGTTAAATGATCCAGGAAGTATCAAGAGAAGATGGAAGGAATACACAGAGTCACTGTATCAGAAGGAACTGGCTGACACAGAAGAATTTCATGAAATGACATATGAGCAAGAGCCTATGGTGATGAAGGAGGAAGTTCAAATTGCTCTA